GCAGTGCGTTTGTATCATGATCACGAAGGATCCGTGCAATATTCTTAGGAAAACGAGATTTATACTGTGTGTGCGTGCAATATCAAATTTTGGTCGCTACGCGTCTTGCCTACCTTTCGGCATATGTCCAATCGGTGGGGTTTCTTTTTGAAATTATAGTGCTAATTGTAGTAAGTAAGGTACACGTGTACATTTATTTAAAATAAATACAACATCTTAACAATGATATCCAATTGGTGATAATACTCATTTAGTGAACATTTATTACGTTTGTAAAAAAGTTCACAATCCGAATCATCGTCAGATGAAATTGACAAATCCGAATCATCACTGTCATTATTAACACTTATTATAAAGTTCAGAAACATCAACCAATATAACTTCTCTTTTAAATTAATCACTTTCCACATGTTCACACACTTTCTTCCAGTTGTCAGCTGTAATTTTTTCAAATTCTTCATTTGCCAGCTTTCTAAGTAACATCTTCGATTTTAAATGTAACATTTCTTGCTGCTAAGCGATTTAAATAAATAAAAGGGCGGTTTATTTATGTTGTAAAGTCCCAAATCTGATCATTTTCTTTGTGATTTGTGCTAACAATTTGATTGACAGTTATAATAAATAATGCGAATCTTGTCTTCCATGCTCATCATCATAAAGGATAGCGCTATACGTAATTAATGTGCCGAAAGTGATGGTAACAGATGGTACGTCCTTTTGAACTATGTTGGGGTATGGCTGTATCTATGTATTTATATATCTATGCAGTGTACTTCACAAAACTGTCAATTTATTCTAACACGTCATTTAAATTTGAATTAAACCATCAAATATGAGAAAGTGTTTGATTTGAGACCACAATACGCCCTTAACTCGTGATACATCTTTACTTCGAGTTCCTTCAGTATGTAATTGAAGCATTTCGACTTTTTTTTTAGTCAAAATACCTACTTAGTGTAAATGCAATAATTACAATTCTTGTTTTGTAGATTGTCATAACGCGCAGCTTCTTAAAAATATGCGTAACTAGCAAAATTGGTCTCATTAAATTGTTGACGTTGTTTATAGAAAATTTATTTGTAAATATTTGTAAAAAATGTAACAGGCAGTTTCCCTGATAATAATATGGAAAAAGGGTCTATGTTTTAACGCATCTGTATTTTAAATTTCCATGGAAAGTAGGAGAGCGACCACTAAGTAATTGTACTCGGCATGAGACCCAAGGCAAGGAAGCTGTGCAGACTGCAGAAGTGTAGTGTAGTTGTGTTTCCCCACACATCGTTAGCATCGACACCTAATACAATTCCACGTCGTTGCCTACGCAGTGATCTGTCATTCTTCTGAAGTCCGAAGTTGGTCGTTTTGCAGAGGCGTTAAATGGGAAGATGACTAAGGTTAGGATAAGCCACACTCCTGGAACAGAAGTTGGTTAAAATTATTGCACTAGTCCCCTTCTATCCAGCATTTAGATCCTGGGAGCTTCCGAGATTAAGTTATAAAATAAAAAGGTAGGTTGAACAAGTCGGGTCCCCTACCTTCCATCTTAACAGTAATAATGTAGACTTTTGCCAGTTCCTTCAATCCCCATCTCAGCAGCCGAGAATCTCGCTAATCAAACGGGCAATAATGATTTTGTGTCAGAGGTTCTTACAGCTCTCGGCATGATTGCTTACACCGTAGATTGTGTAGGTGAGGGTCATTTGATGCTTATCTTAATATAAGAAGGGCGGCTCCTGGTTTGTTCACATATGGTTTACATTGATCAATGACTTGTTGACTTCGCTTGATCCAGTACAAGCTCCGACAGCTAGACGGGGTGAGAAGTCTGTAATGCAGGTATTGCGCTACTATTTACTGTGATAACGAGCATCCTTTTTAGTGGAACCCCTCAATGCTCTGTAACTTTGAACTTTAGCAAAGTGAACAGTGCGATGTGCAAGTTTGCTTGCTTATACATCCGATTAGTACTTGTCTATTTTATTTACCGAAATTGTTTGCAACAATAACTAGGTATAACACACTGTAGATGCCAAACCACACCAAGTCGCTAAGTAAAAAATTTTTGTACATAACATCATAACCTAAAACAATTTAAATGACATTCATTTGAAGTACACTGATCACCCTGGCGCCATCTATGGATTGAGTTTACCTAGCGCCGGATTTGGCGTCAAATTTTACAGGTATAAGCGCGCCTACCAGTCTCTATATATCTTGGATACACCATTCGAATTGAATTTGTATGCGGGCATGCGGCCAACCGCCCCGTATTCAGCGTATGTCCCCGAATTAAACCAATAACCAATTGATCTGCATTGCTCATGTCGCGTCGCGTTTTTAGTTTTATTCAAATCGTTAATGGTGACTGACGACATACCTGCATAGTTCCACGGTTTTCATTGCGAAATAAAATAAAATCGGAAATGTTGTATAAATTGAATGTGTTATTTTTTTTCAAATGCTTGGGACACGACTTGAAACCTTATTTTGTACCGCATTGTTATTTTAAAAAGGTGGCCCTTAACTTTGTATCAAATGAAAGCCACTCTACACCCCCATTCACGGTGATTTGAGCACTTCGTTAAATTTATAAATACAATGGTAGTATCACCACAGATTTAATAATATTTAAATCTCTGGTATCACTTTGATAGTTTATGTGGCCTCAGGGGCTTAATATGTATCTTAGCACGATTACAATGTAACTACACAAATATCTACGTAAATTTAGTTTATATTGTGAAGATACCTAATGTGCGAATTTTAATTTGAATACATACCTATATCAGTTTTGCACAAGGTTTTGCACAACGAAGTCCCACATCTATAAACTTGATACGTAAATTTATTTTTAAAATATGTATCTGTCTATGAATTGTTTTACTATTTATTATCATTAAAGGCCATCAAAAAATAAAAATATGTGTAGGTACAGAGTGTTCTGACAGAGGTACTTATACCATATAACGTTCGTTATATACTCTTTGCTTATACCACAGACAACATAGTATATGTTGTCTGTGCTTATACCAACCGTGATACCGGCTCGTTTACTGAAACTGTAAAAATAAGACGATTTGTTAAAACATAATTTTAGTTTAAGGGCGCTTCCTTTTAAATATACCTAAAGGAGTACTACCTAAATATGTATACATATGTTTAGCGCATTTTCCAAAAGAAAAATGAACGCTATTGTCCGCACTTTGTCCGTCTGTAACACTCGACTCCTCCAGTTTAAGCTTTTTGTTGTGATCTCTTTCTATTACGGTGTAGCACAGCCTCGAGATCAGAACGACAAAAGATTTTTTGTATTAGTCACTTCCTTCCCGATCCCGAGTTATTACTGATTCTGTGTGGAGAAAATGCGCCTTCGTCGGTTGCAAGTGACCGCCATAAAAAAATACACATAGTGATCACTCGTGGTCTATTATACTAGTTATATTTGATACACGTAGGTGCAAAAGAGTATTCTGGGCGAGATTCTGGGGTACACTGTGTATGATTCTTGCTACTTTTCACCATTGAATAAGTATAATTACCTACTTATATTCAATGCTTTCCCTAAAGTGCTAAAGCGCAGCGCGCCGGAAAGGACTTTATCTAAATTCGAAACCATAGTTTACCCATGTGAAGTTGGCCTCGCCCACATGAAATAATTTGACAAAAACGTGACAACAGTTTACTGCTACGTTAGTGCTGTCAGCTGCTACATAGCATAAGAAAACGGGGCGTGGCCAACTTCACACTTTTTTTTTACTTATCGAAATAATCAACACGTACGGTGTTAGTACTATCATTGTATTTATAAATGTTTATAAATACAATGGTGCTATGTAAAGGTGCGTATTCATTTGCAACAAAATGCCCCGAACGAACCAAACGCGCGCTGAATAGTAGATTCCGACAGAGCTACAATCACTACATGTCGCTTAAATGAGCAAAGAATTACAGAATTTTATGTAGATTAAGTTTCCCTTTAAGAGTTTCTTGTAGCTTCACAAACAATGAAGTTAGGGTCAAAGACCCGAAAAATTTCATAATGCGCTGCCTACTCTCAAAGATATCAAAAAATAGTTTTAACAAACTCTTAGTCATTTGTTCTCAGCTTTCTGATGGTGCTAAAAATTTTGATCACTGTCCATTTAAGTGACTTTCTATCTCTTACGATTTACGAAATCCCCATACTGAACATCGAAAAAGGCTCACCCTGTATTTATCACTTCCAAGAAACACTCTAACTTTCGTAATTATAAACCGATTTCGACCAAACTTTAAGGGATGGTGTATTGGTGTAACATATGTATCTCATACATATCTATGTTAAGTTCGTGAATCAACCAATTCCGCCGTATTGCAATAAAATACGAATTGTTGTTAGATATGTCAATTTAATTTCGTCTGATCGGCCGGCCGTTGCCTTTCCTATCAAAATCATCCGGCGAACTAAACTTAAGTGTCGACAGTAAGAATGTCTACCAAAATTGGTTCCAATTGGTTCAGTCGTTTAGTAGGAGTACAGACAGGCCGACCGACAGAGCTGGGAAGTATTTGAAATTTTTAAATACTTGGTATTTAAATACTTTCTTAACATTGTATTTGTATTTGAAAGCTCAAATACTTTTAAAAGTATTTAGGATTTAAATACTTTTGAAAAGTATTTAAATATATTTGGGAAATATTTAAATACTTTTGTAGTATTTAAATACTTTTAGAGTATTTAAATGCTTCTGAAGTATTTAAATACTTTTGGACTATTTAAATACTTTTCGCCCATTTAAATACTTTTGGAAAGTACTTAAATACTCTTGAAGGATATATACTTTTTGAGGAACCCCTACAGTCCTATAGATTTAATTTTTAAAAATTAATAATCAATATGCCTATCAGGAAGATATTTTCAAACAGCTTTAGCTTACTACTTACTCTGTAGGTGTGTAAGTTACTTTGCTTCCTACTCATGTCCACTCGCCTGCTCGTCTTATATGTGTAATAGTACTAATAATTAATGTTACTTAAATAGTTTATAAATTCTTACGACATTCGATAAGTAAGTAGGTATTTATGCATAAGAATCGCATTGAAGCGTATAGGGTACCACATGCTTTAATTATTTGCACACAGAGATACAAGTCCCTTCAAACTTATCCCATGCCCGCGGAAATATGCGGACTAATTTGTAGATACGTTGGATTGACCAACGGCTAAATGCTGCTTAGATAGGTATTCAGTTCTACTTTCCAACCACTGTTATATGACTTAAAATGTACCAAAGTTGCGTAATTAAATATTTATCTTCTTTTGGGTTATAATCGTGTATACACGAGTTTTTCTATTTAATTTGTTTACAAATGAAATCGTTTCGATAACAGTTTCAGTTAGCGTCAGTTACCTTTGTAAGTTATCAAAAAAACTATTAGAAAAAAGTAAAGATGTCAAATAAAGTTAAAAGTGTAAATGTAAGTAATTCTGCTATTCTTCAAAAAGTCAACTACGAAAATTATTTTAATTTTTTATTCAAGTCAAAATTAGCAGGAACTTGATACTGCAAATATTAAATGTTTCTAAAATGCCTTGAGGATGACAAGTCAGAACACCCTCAATTCATTAATCATTTTAATAATATTTAATTTTTGAAGAACTTGCTAATCATTAGGTACTTAAATTAAAACAATTTTCGTTTTTGGATTTTTATAGCAGAGTTATATTTTTGATAAATGATGAGTGATGAGGTAACTATGTCCGTTATCGAAATGTCTTCATTAGTAATACAATTAAATGTAAAACCCAAAAGAAGATAAATGCTTAATTTGTTTAATTATGTGTGAAAATCGCAAAAGTTTGTATTTTCATCTATGATTTATTGCGGTTTTCAGTGGAGCAGCAATCATAAGTATAAGTAGATAGTTCACAAGCACGTCGCGGCATCGGAATATAAGAGGATTATTGACCACAAGCATGCCGACTGCGTTGTTGTAAACCATGGCGATTGATTGTTCAGTTTTAAAGAGATTTGTTGGTTTGAAAATGTGACAAACATCTAACCTGCAACGTAATGCCTAAATAAACAACAAAGTTATTACCATACCCTACCCTGTACTAATTTTCTAGCCGCCCGAAGAAAATATAACTAAGACTAAAGTAACAGCGAAGAAGAACAGTTTTTGTGATAGTTTAGTAGTACCACATGCGTATTTAATCGAAATTTTATTTGTGATTTGTGTGTGCCGTACCTTTGGATTAGTGATATATGGATCGGCAGTGTTAAATAGGCAAATACAGTAGACAACCATTGAATTTTCTAACTCGACACATCAGGTTGTAATGTCCATTTAGCTAACATTAAATATTTTTCCAAGATTAAATATTAAATCCATATTCAAATATACTTATAGTCAACAAAAAATCCGACTCAAAAAAATTTTCCACATTAGATAAGTAAACCGGCGTAAATTTACTAGAAACTGAAATATGATACTTTTCCAAACATTTAAATATTTTGAAAGTATACTTTCGAAAATAGTTAAATACTTTCAAAAGTGGTTAAATACTTTTCAAATATTTAAATACTTTCAAAATATTTAAATACTTTACAAAGTATTTAAATAGTTTGTAAAGTAGTAAAATACTTTTCCAGAAGTATTTAAATACTTTTTAAAGTCGGCCTCTGTTCAAAGATCAGTATGATCTTTGCTCTGTTCAAGAAAATGAAAATCATGACCGTATATTCATTATATATATACAAGTGTGTATCATATATACTTGAAAATAAATCCCAATTTACGACCAATCAGGACCTTAGGTATGGCATACAAACCAGATATGGCCACAATCCCAGCGTCCCAGGACATAGCACTGCACTATTTGAGGATTCTCCCAGGTATATGGCGATCAAGCTATTCTACCATCTCCCACAAGAACTGCGAACACTTACATCAACAAATAAATTTAAAATTCAAGCTAGAACATAATCCATACTACCGAGTGAACGAATACCTCCAAGTCCTGCGCGACGGCGAATTATTGTAAATTATGTTTTTAGTTCAATTTATATTGCCTGTTTGTAATTTTATACCTTATCGTATGCTGTGACAACCCAATATTACTTTGTAATCGGTATGGGGATAAATAAAACTAAACTAAACTAAAGTATTTGTATTTAATATTTGCTTATGTTGCTTAAAAAAGTAGGTATTTAATCTTTAAATACCTTTGCTTTTTTGAATGTATTTAGTATTT